AAGATTTCCTAGAAAAAGTCCATTTAAGTAATTTCTTTTTGGATAAAGATTTCAAATAGCCTCAAAATTGATAAAATTTATGAAGAACCAACCTGGATCTTCCGTAGCGCTTGAACACAGTCCTTCGCCGAAGCATGAGGATGGAGGTGGAGGATGAGGAAGAGCCCATGCGCCTTGTCCTCCCGAATTACCTAGACCCAAGTCGTTGACGCTAAAGTTACAAGGATGACCTACGATATCCTGACACTTGTATTCGCTCTCCGCTCTGGCCATCAGTAGTCCACCTTTAGCAGTTTCGTTGCCCATGCAAGTAACAAATTCGCGTGTTAAAATGGAGGCCTTTTTGATAAAACTGCATGATGCCTCTGTTTGCAGCAGCACATAAGCGCCAAATCCACCAATCGCTACTGGCCACACCCGTCGCGTCATTAAGCCCATGGATCGTGTTAAAGTCTGCAGGCGACTCGAGTAACTCATTGTTCTATAACAAGTCATAAATTGTACTAGCAACGTTTGGCTTTGTTCGAGAGGTATGAAGAGTCGTAACACGGTCATAGGCAGTAGCAAGTTTAAGGGAAATATATGAACGATTGTCGGCCACCAATAATCCACTCGGTGCAAAAACCGGTGAATTTAATGGCATATTTAAAAAAATACCAGAAGATGTCCCACTTATCACAGCTCAAATCTACGCGTAACTAATAAAGGTATACTTGAACGAACTAAAGATTAAGCTGATAAAGCGCCCTGATAAGCAGTAGGAGGTATCCAAAGTGATGTAAAACAAATCCTGGAAAATACAAAGACGAATATATTTTGCCCACAATCCACGCTAAGTAACTCGAAAACTTAACCTAAGTCAAAAATATGCTCCATTGCCGTGAAGTTAACCCACAGGTGCAAGTGTTATATAAGTGTACAAAGTTCCTCAATCACAAAGTTCTAGGTAGCTGAGTACATAAAATAATAGACGACCAATTCAGCAATCAAGTAGCAGACCGACAATTTAGTAATCATCGGCAAATCAAAACCTCTCATCGAATAACCTTGAAATCAAAAACGTGTACAACTGGAGATAGCGTCTGCCAGAGCTACAAAACAAATAGCCACAGATTTGAAATTTATTTCAAAATAAATGCACCACCTCATAACCCATATTTTACACATGCTAAACGCACGTTTTATTAATTCACCTGATTATTAAGGATCGGGCGTTTTGGAAGCCACCTCTGAATTAGTGTGCATTACCATTGTATTATTCTCCCTATCATTTAAGGCATATACAGTTTGAATTTACAAACTTGTTTTGTGGTTTCAGCAAATTTTTACATTTACTACCTCCTTAAGGTATTCATTTTTTTACCGTACTTGTTGATTTGAAAATCTGATTTATCATTGCATACAAGTAAGAAAGTTACTTTTATTTGGAGCCAGGAAAATAAATAGGTAAATGCCTTTAACTGTATAATCACAATTTTTTCTTTTAAGTTCTTCGCGAATGAATTATTTACACTAGGGATGGAGAATACGCTCGACTACAAAAGTTATAAAGAAATGTATGAAACCTACACAAAGTGTTGGAAGCAACAATTTGACTCCTGTTCCACTTCTCACTCAGCATTGGACAATTCGTTGGTGTGCATGCTGATGCAGTGCAGGCTTGTGGCTGTGGCTAGTATGTAATGAAACTGCGGCTCAAATTTGGAAGTCAGTTTAAAGTGGCTGAGGTGGACGAGGAGTCATTGCTAGGCTCTCTGGTAGAAAAAGCAGCCTCCTTGTTTAACCTTACAACGTAATTTACCTTGCGATTTACCCAGTGTATGACTACAACATGCTGTCTTGCTGTTCCTAGATGTTGGTTGTTTCATTTATGCTCCTCAGTACTGTTGGATGAGTTTGTTAGGGGTTTATTTGAATTGAAAATATGCCTCTTATTCTTTCTTTCTCACCTCCCCGTCTTTTAAAACTTCAACATTCTCCATAGAAGTAACGTCCTCGTCAGCTTAAATGCAACTGATTTCTATGCTTCCTCCGATGGTCGATTAAAACTGAAAGACATTGGAATTGTTTCTGGTGACATAATTTACGTCCAGTCTCTAGTTCAGTCGGACGACATAAGGAAGGCCCGTTCTAGTGAGGTACCTCCCGTTTCCTACTAAGGTGTATTGGCAGGCCTTTGAAAAATTGTCGGATTCCGTCAAGGAGCTGAAATATCCTTTAGAGGAATTGGGCGTGAGAATAGGTATGGGTCCTCTGGATGTCAGTGCAAGGAGTAAGAGCTTGATGGTAGCGTTTGTAAAGCTGAATTTGCATCTGGATAGAGCCCTTGTGTTGCAGAAGCGACGTCCGAGTTAGTTCGTATAGCATACGCTTATTGTTATGGTGATGATGATGTTCGAGCCTTAATTACTTTCACCATATTCTCCTGTGGGGATCTCATGAGCTATGCTGGTAAGTCGCCTCTTGCTAACTCTTCTTCAGCAAGTGTTGCCAACTCTGAAATCCGAAAACAAATCGCCATTAAATATGACAATTTTTTCGTTGATCCACAAAGAGTTGATGCCGGTATGTTAGGACCCGTGTCGATTTCACGCATTTATACAGATTCTCGGGGGAGTCTTTCCGTTATTTATAAAAATCCACAAGATCTCATTATCAAATTGTCGGATGAGCTTATTGAACCTATTCTAGTTGACATCCATGAAGGTAAGAGTGCAGTCAAGATCATGTTTCCTACCCTAGAGTTCGTTCTCCCACCCCGTTTTGGACTAATGAATTTGCCGGAGGCAGTTTTGGTAAGTCGCCTCTTTTTACATAAGTAGTGCATTTTCATTCAGTAATAAGAATTGAAATAAGAATTGTATTTGATGTTCACTACAGTATATGCTGCCCAGATGACTTAAGTAAGGCTTTTACTTTTCGTTCTTCTGATAATGTGTTTCGTAGGTTAACATTTTTGATCGCCTTCCGTTGGGCGATTTGGCCTGTGTCTCACTGTCTTCTCGCAAGGTGAACAGTTTCATCAATTTTTGTGAAGCGCTTTGGCACCGCAAGTTAAACCGCATTGTTGGTTCCTCTCCTGCTGGTGGTATGTCGAAAAATCAGGCTTATTTTCCATTTGATAAATACATTTCCAAATCTCCCGGCATTTTATTTCAGTGATAAACTCAGAATTTTTGTCAGGCGGTTCAGCGGCCCTGTTTGGCAAATGTCCATCACTTTTGGTAGGTATATGCTTTTCTTTTTTTCAATGGCTAATTTACGGTTTCTAGGCATTCCGTAATGTCTGTCTGGTCAGAAAATCTTCCTCAAGGGTGCGCTTTTAAATCAATCATAGCCTTCTACCTGAGAAAATATACTTAATGCAGCTGTTATTGTCGCTTTTTTGATGTTATCATAAAAGACATTAGTTTCGTGAATAAGTTCGAAAAAAGTACGTAATGTTTCACTTTTCCTGTTGTTGAGGTACACATTAACCCTCCGTGATTTTTGTCTGCTGTTACATGGGGGAGAATCGTGTGTATGGGTACTTAAGATCTCTACTTTGGATTGTGCTCACCGAATGCAGCAAGCTATTATTTTTTTACCGACAGTGCAATTTGTGTTACTTTCTTGTAATTACTTGCTATGAGGAATAGGGATAGATGCTTACCTCTAAGCTGAATCGCTAATTTTACCATCCAAAAGCAAGGTAAGTACGTAGGTCATTTTGGGTGTGTTGGCTGTGGGGACTCTCCAGTCTATGGGAGCTGAAATCCCTCGACCCTTCTGTACCCCAGTTGCGATCCGATTTTCGACGTTGGTAAGCCTTATTGTGTCTCCGAAAACCACCTGGGGCCAGTTTTAGGCCCTTTTCATCTAAGTATTGCATCTAAAATGTAGTTTGGTTTTTCTTTTTTTCTGGTGCAAAATGTAGCATGTGGTTGACGAAAAATCCAGGGGAAACTTACATCCCTGTATCTGGGATGAGAAATGCAATCTTTGAGGATTGCGTTTACGTGTTACTAATGCGAAGGAAAGTGAAATAGTCACAACATTAGCTATTGTGGTTTGTGTAAAGTAGTGTGGCCATGGTGTACTGTCCCACGTCTTCCCTGAGGTCGGAACGAGCGAAATGGGTGTAGACGAAAGTGCTTCTAGCGTGTAGGACTGTTGGAAGACCACTAGCGTGGCTTGAAGCTTATGAAGGCACAATCTGCGCCGGTTTAGGCGCTCCAGTAGTTCAACACATAATTAGACAGACGCCCAATTCCTTATAGTAGCTTTAAACGCCCAATCCACGAGCTGGGGCCAGTGACATACGCATGCATGGGGATTACCACGAGAGGTGTGGTAGTGCTGCAGTACTTTAGGCGTTTGTTTAACATTCAAGTTTATGTAACGGACCATTTAGGAGCCGCACAATTGCACACCTGGCGGGTGGTCTACCTCCATGCTATGCCACTAAACTTGGACCCTTCTGTACGTCGGCATTATATATTCTGCCCGAGTGCTATGTCTCTTGTTGTCTTTGGGGAAGTCTCGAAGGGCTGCATTGGTGATAAACCTCAGCGTGACAGAAAAATTGCTCTTACTTTGGATGGGGAAGTCTGCGACGGGCCCTAACAAAGCAATTGAAAATAACGTCAACTTTCGGAAACTACTCCAGCTCTGTATTTTGCGGTAAAGCTATCAGCATTGGAGTCGATGCTAGCCGTGAACCATCTGGTAGTTTCGTTACAAAGTTATCTGTCGCAACCGTATGAAGATGTCAATGAATTGGCCTTGCGATACCTTCTTGCCTCTCTACTAGCTAAATAGAATCCAGCAACATGGCAACGAAGTAAAACTCTACCCCTGCGGAACTATGTCAAACCCCATCCTTTGTTATATGGCTGTTTTTAAGTCACCGTGATGGCCAGAACACTCTTTTCTGTCCCTCAATAAAGCTCCCATACAAAAAAAACTACAGATCCTGTAGAGGTGTTAAGAGGGATCAGACATCTCCTAAGTTGCATGAGAATTTGATAAGTGGTACGGTTGGTTCGTGGGTGTTCGTCTAACACTTGACGGCAGCCGCAGGAGTTTGGCCAAGTAGGGCTCTGGAGACGAACCTCAAAAGAGAAGGAGAGCTATTAAGTTATTTAGGTGATCATTTAACTCTTGGAATCAGTAATGGACTACTTAGAATTCCGCCACCGTACAACCCCTGGTCGGCCCCCGCACCATGCCAGTAGACACAAGCCCATCTACAGGTTGGTAATATATATTCCGCCTCAGCTTTATGTACTTTTGCGGTCTTCAAAAAAGTCCCAGGGCGCTGTAATCATAGTCGCTTTGTCGCCAGACAAATTATTTAAATGGAATAGTGATGCAGCTTTCCGGGAATGTTTAATGCCTACAACATCCTCCGTTCCCTAGTTATGAGGCTTCTGATAGGCAAATTGAGAAAATCAGTATTCAGAGAGAACTTTTTTAAATTGCAAAACCTGCAGTTAAAATTCTGATGCTAAATGGAAACATATGTGCTTTTAACACAATTTTGAGGTTGTATCATTGACGTAATGGAAGATTAGCGAGTACTTACACGTAAAGGTCACTTCAACAGGAATTCCAAAAAATTGGCAAGACAAAAGTTAACTCAGATAGTCTTGCTTTCACCAAAAGTATCATTTTATTTGTCTGGGCTTTCAAAAAACTTGGATAAAAAACGAAATTTTTTGTAAAAACAAACAGTTGGTGCCCTATTTTGCAACAGCAGTGCATAATAGCAGTACTTTTATTAGCATTTAGTCCACAAGACCTTAAGACGTCTGTTTTATTTATGTCAAATAAATTTGTTTAGTAGCATGACTTTGATTGCTAGATTCGTTGACGCCTATAAATTCAAGGTCGCTACGGCCCTCCGCGGCTTCTTTGAGTGTAGGTCTCAGTGTGGTTCACAGGGCTCTCTTGTGGTAGCGGTTTTTTTTCGGCCTTACTTAATGCAGACTATTTCCAAATTCTTTTCCACTCGCCTGTACCACAATTTCTTGACCTTTAAGTCGCCAACCTTGTGCACAATTTTTTAGGTTACGAACAAGTCTCAGAAAGATGTGGTCGCAAGTTGAAATGGGTCCCCCGGACTTCGTTTTGGGTATCACAGAGGCTTTTAAGCGTGATACAAATCCTAGCAAAGTTAATCTTGGCGTTGGTGCCTACCGAGATGATAACTCTAAACCTTGGGTCCTTCCATCTGTTCGTGAAGCTGAGGAACGTATTTTGAGTCGTCATTTGGATCACGAATATCTTCCTATTAGCGGTCTTTCTTCTTTCTGCAAATTAGCCATTGAATTTGCCCTTGGCGCAGACTGTCCTGTTTTTAAGGAAGGGCGAGTGAGCATGGTGTTTCATCCCATTTTAAGTTTGGACGACTTTTTCATACACTTTTAATTGTTTCAGAATGCCACAGTTCAATGCCTTTCGGGCACAGGATCTCTTCGCATCGGAGCTGCATTTTTGGGTCGCTTTTCGAAGGTAAAGGAAGTTTGGGTGCCCAAACCCACCTGGGCAAACCATATACCGGTCTTCAGGGACAGTGGCATCGCCGTACAATACTACCGCTACTATGATTCGAAAACCTGCGGTTTGGATGAATCTGGCTGGCTAGAAGATATTTCGCACATTCCGGAAGGTAGTACCATCTTGCTGCACGCCTGTGCACATAATCCGACCGGTGTGGATCCGAGTCAAGAGCAGTGGAAGCGTGCAGGAAAGATAATCAAAGAACGTGATCTCATTCCTTTCTTCGATATGGCCTACCAGGGATTTGCTTCCGGCGATCCGGACCGTGATTCCTGGGCTCTGCGATATTTTGTCCGTGATCTTCATTGTAAAACTCTCTTTTTGGCTCAAAGCTTTGCCAAGAATATGGGTCTTTACGGTGAACGGTGCGGTGCCTTTACTCTTATTTGCGAGTCAAAGGATGAGGCTGAACGATGCATGTCGCAACTCAAGATCCTCATCCGCCCAATTATCAGTAATCCACCCCTCTATGGTGCTAGAATTGCCGCGGAAATTCTCGGTGATCCTGAGCTTAAAGCCAAATGGTAGGCGGTAGGATGTGGAGTTTTCAACCTTCAACTTTGGTGCTCCTTTTAGGATGGTGGACCTTAAGAGCATGGCACATCGGATAATTGGTATGAGAAGTTCTCTGAGGGAGGAATTAGCAAAGGCTGGCTCAAAGCGCAATTGGGAGCACGTCACAAACCAAATCGGGATGTTCTGCTATACGGGGCTTTTGCCTGATCAGGTTTGTATGCAGATTCGTTCGTGTAGATTTTCCTGAATTTTAGCTTCTTGACAACAATTTCTTGTAACTTAGGTAGAGCGGTTGACCAAAGAGTTCTCCATCTATCTGACAAAAGATGGACGAATTAGTATGGCTGGAGTGACCTCCAAGAACGTTGCATATGTGGCCCAGGCGATACACGCAGTGACGAAGTAGGAGAGCATTCATCTTATGACACACCATCTTCCTTTTTTCCTTATATAACCTTAACCTTTTGTACCACGCGTTTTGATCGATTGTCACTAGTAATGTTAATGATTGGCAAATTTACCATAGTCGTGAAATCATTGTTTCTATTTAATAAAATTATCAACTAGATGAATGGGTATATTCGGATTTCGGGATTTCCTGCTTAGCGATTTCTTGTTGCCGCAAGTTTGCGTGACATTGGAAAGTAGTAGAAGAGAAGGCGTATGTGATTGGGATTATTTGTGGGGTCTTGTGCGTCCATCTGTTGAGGCATAGGTTTAAAAACTAGGGAAGATAGTTTAAAAGCAATTTTTTTGTGGATTTCAGCATTCATAGCTTTCTAATTTAAAAGTAAAATGCGATGTAACTTAGTGGTACGGGGTGAGCACTGTAATCAAGGGCGTAGGGGTTTGTCTGGTTGCTTTTAGGCAATCTTTTCAATGGGGATTCAAGTGTGGATTATTCCTGTTATTCCATTTTACACGAAGGATCATTCCCACTTAAACAGAAATGTATTGACTGCGGACTTTAATCCATTTTCAATCCCTGAAGGTAAACTGGTGCATTGGTTTCAGGTCTCAGACATTCTTCATTGACAGTATTTTGGTCCTTGGGGAATAGGCTCGAAGCCGCTGATAGTGTTTGATGCGGGTGGAATGGCATCAAAAACTCTTAATACCAATGGTTTTCGCAAAACTGATTGGTCCGACAAATAACCTGACTACAGTTGTGTTGCCAAACTTGATCCTGACTGGGACGGGTTGTAGGCGAAGTGGAGGCCGTTTGAAATACACACATGATCTCCTCTGAACAAAGACCATTGGATGAAAGCAAGCAGCTCTGAACTCTTCATTTTCACAACTAAAAGCTGTTAGTTGAACGAGGATGTTTACGCTCTTGGCTACCAGTGCTTTGGAATAATTTATTCTTCAGTAATGGGGAGCTTTTACTTTGTTGAAAACAGTTGCATGAGGCAATAAATTTACAAGAAGACCCAGTGCAGGTGCGGATTCCGCTTCTATTAAACAACACACAATGAGAATATTGTCTTTTGGGAACGAAGTGGTACGTGACTTAGTGGTGACTGGCTGTTGAATGAACGGTTCAAGTGGGGGTAACCAATGGCGTACGCTGGAATGCGAAACCTATTTCCCCTCACAAATGAGGCAACAAATTAACACTCTAAAATAATTATTGCATTTTTATAAAGAGAGTAAAGGCTAGGAGTCTTTCTAGTACACTGAGATTCAACGGCTTAGTAATCACGACCTCCCCGGTGGATGGGGAAAGTCGTTCATGACACGAAAATTGCAAATTACTTCGCTAAGTTGTAATACGCAAGTCTTCATCCTCATGAGCAAACGATCTTCTATCCCTAATGTGATTCATCTATCCACCAGCAGAACCAAGTTCTTAATCCATATCCACCACCGCATTTTCTTTAAAATTTTGCAAGAAGTTTTACAGGGAGGATTAATCGACCGACGCTTATCCAATGCTTTATAAAGCGTAGAGGGAATCGCACACATTTCACTAGTGTTAATAAATGAATAATTGCCTGTTGTTATGGTTGGAACTCACACAATCAACTCTGGTCATCTGATGTTAGCCACACCTTCTCGTGAGACGCCTCATGGAAACGTTCAAAAGTGAAAATGTCAACTTCTTATGGAGTGGAGAATCTTCGCAATTCTAATGACTACGTTCTTTGCTACTTGATCAAACAGATGCGGAAAATGGTGGCTACTTTAGATGATGGGCTATTGTGAGCTCCCGATATTCTGTACAAGCCAAAATGAGATAAAAAGCGAGATAGGCGGGTCTTGCCAATTTCATTCACGCAATCCCTCATCAAAAAAGGCCGCCATAAGAGTTGACAGATGTGGCCTGTCAGACATTGCTAGGAAGAATTTGTAGTCGTCAAAGCCACATCTCAGCCGTATTATGGGCTAATTTACTTCGTTTTTCTTAAAGAATAAAATAATTGGGTGCTTCGGTTTTATTCAATAGGTAAGATTCTCTGATCTTGAAGTATGTAAATGTTTTCTTGCAACCAAAACTGGGTGCCAAGTTTCAGACACCTTTTCTCTTCTAAACCTTAGTCAGTCTCGAGTAAAAATTGTCTCCCATAGGCCACGCTAACAATCGCAAACTGAACAATCCAACTGTAATTGCCCTCAAACCAGTTATCATGGACGGATGATAACGTGGGTCACACATTTGTGACGCCCTGCTTACTCAGGCAAATCGTAGAGTTACCCTTTTGTGCTGCTAACGGTGAACGATCTGAGAATGGAAAAAAATAGACACAGTGACATCTCTACGTTCTTCAACCCATCCCTCTTTGCCAGGTCGTAGATTAAAGGAGAGATCTGAGACAATAATGTGCAAATTCGCATAAATCCTCAGTCCAGACGGTTTTAAGCCAAAAGGGTAGCACGTGACGCGTAGCTGGCACACAAGTCTAAGCCCAAGTCATGTGTCTAGACCCGACTAAAGAAAACAAAGGTCATGAATTTCTAAAGGCAACACACCTTTTTTTGACTCCCTGATCTCAATTACCACATAGGTGAGATGTTAAAGACCTGATTGTAGACGAGAGTAGTTGGAGAACTGGAGAGTAGTGCTGATCCGTTCAGCGCTGCAGCTCATAGAAAAAAACACTTCAAAGAAAAAAATTAAAGGAGATCAATTGCCTGACACTACCGATTAATTTAATCGTAAAAAGTTCCCTCAAAACCTCATAAAATCTGGTCGGTAAAAAGATATGGAAAGTGGGAAAGGAAAAAGAAGGTCAACTGCACTTGATAGGTGAAATGATTTGCTTTGATTGTGGACAACTGACGTTGTTTTAACAAATGCAAATATGAGGTATTAAATCTTTTCTAAACAAGCATCAATTTACAGTATTTTAAAATAACCCTTTAAATGTAACCCTGACAGTGGTTACAATTCAGATCGCAATTGCTCAAAGTAGACTCCTACCGACTGAATAATGACTTGAAACCTCAGGGTTCAAAAAGCAATCCCATTAGGAGGGTGGAATTAAAAAAAATTCAAATTGGGAAGCAAAGACTTCAAAGCACGGAGGGACCCTCCGCGGCCCAATTCTGTTAAAACTTAAGAACTATTTTAGGTCCTCTCCAAGGTGTACGAAATGTTGAATTTGGAAGAGGCCAACAGGTAATTGAACACCCCCTAATTGGTTTAATCTCGCACCGGAAAGCATTGAAATTAAGCCATTAGTTGGCAAATTCTTTAACTAAACGCTGCTATACTCAACCAATCAGACGCGTGCAACATTATGAGGACCAATCATATGCGTGCTGCATCCCGCGGGTCAATCAGATGCATAGTAGCAGTTGCCTATCTTAAATGGCCAAAATGAACGGCTTTCAAAGGGACGCCAAGTTGGTGTAACGGCGGCAAGTACGTATTTTGTCTTCGAAATCAGAGGTCAAAGCAGGCCTATGATTAATACCTAAACAAAAATTTGGTTTTATAACCCGGCGGCCATAGAATCTTGTTCACCAATCACGCATTCGTGTGTCAATCTAAATAACGTTTATTTTAACATTCAAGTGTTTTTCGTACTTGAAATAATTATGCAAAATCACATGGAAAAAGCTGGAGTACACCCCAGAAACGGTTAGGTGTAAGGCATAAGCGTGCGCATTTTGGATTAGTCATCAGTAAGGGGGCTGCTTTGGTCTCAAGGGCAAATATTGGTGCTCTTTGTCTCCGATATGCGCTCTCGATGTTGTGCTACCTTGGCAACAAACTGACAGTAAGTGGTCTCACGTTTACGTTACTTTTAAAAAAAGTGGTCACTCGAAATCGGTGGTAGGGTGCTGTCAACTGCATCAACTTCCGTCCTGTCGGATCCGGCTATTCACTCATCACGCCCAGTGGGTGTGCCGTCGAGAGTCAAGGGCCACTAGACTGTGCTAAAGTACTTTAAGGTATGTTGGACTGTAGTGGACGCAATATTCGAGTCAAAAATATGATATAAAATATACGCTACAGAGACTTCCTTACAGGCCGAAGAAGAAATAATACTCCGACAGCACATGCATTGTCGACCTACAGAACCGCGCGGAGGCCGCTGCAGGGTCCAGAGATCAGGCTGCCCGAAGGAGCCCTAAGTGGCCCGCCGTCCAAAACTGAGGGTTAAACAAAACATTACATTACTACCTAGGCATTGGCAATGTTTAAAAATCGTCGGCTCTGCCATTCGTGACGCTTGGTGTCAAAAGCCACCACTAAAGTGACTGGAATCAAAAGTGTTGGTCCAGATCTGATGCGTCATAAATTCTAGTAACAGCTAGTGTTTGTTGTCTCAAAAAAAGCTTGTACTTCTTCCAGTCGACTTCACTTTTCTTCTCGTTCTTGCGAACGTCTCTTTAGCGTGATTAAATACCAAAGATTCTTATTCGAAGTCGCAATTTTGGCAAGTAGTCATATATACGTTTTCCGCCTCTGTCTTTGAGCCCTTGGCATGAGCAAACTGGTTGGATGAGGATATTTTTATTAAAGAGGTGCTATAGAAGGGGTACAGAAATCGCGGTTGTAAGGGTTTGAAGTGCTTTTTTTCGCCTCGACAACCAATGGCGCGTCCCCTCGGCTATGAGACTTGTATAAATTTGCATTGCGCCAAGTCTTCACTGCAGGCAAAAGAAGACCTACAGAACCGCCTGGAGGCTGCTGGCATAGCCCGTAGGCCAGGCCGCCCGGCGGTGGTACGTACAATAGCGGAGCCCGTACTACATATTGACCGCTTCTCGCCCAAAAGGCACATTCAAGCAACCACGTATTACACTTGTATCAGGAAATAGGCACGTTCTTGTGTCTAAAAGAGGCAAGGCAATGCTTTTAGGCTCTACTTAGAATGACATGCCGTTTCAAGATAGTCGACCCCGTTAGAAACACAGCTTTGACGCTCAAGGTACGGTAAAATAGTATAAATGTTACTTGTTGACAACTCCCAGCAACACTAAGGCTTAACTTGTTGCCTAATAAACAAGAAAAGCTGAAAAAGTGCAACAAAATATGGCAGAAAAAAGGTGATAGCCTGAATTTTCCACCGGTTTTTGGATTACCAAATGCTGAGGAGTTAACAAGATTGCTTATAAATGGATCAGGTGGGTGACACACAATCAGTAAATCATTCTAAAGCTACTTTCTAATTCTATCAGCAGTCAAAAACAACACTACTAGAATACAATGTTTACCGCTATTTAAATAAATAAATAAACAAATGACAATGGTGGATGAAATACGCGAACCTCGTGACCGAGGGGATGCCATTGGTACCCCGAGAAGGAAGCGAGCCTCAAACCCAAATAGCCTCGATCCTCTGTAAGCCTTTACAACACAATCCAACAGAAGGTGTCCTCATGCATCCAGTCTTCGCATTTCTGTATTGTGTTCTCTATATTCAAGAAGACTAATTCCATCCCAACGAGACGATCGCAAAATTATGCGAAAACGTTTACTTTCTGGTGTCGCGTCTATGTCGCGACTGCGGCGTCCCTTCCTCATCCGATAATGCCAACTGAATGGATCAAATCCAATTGCCATTGAATTGACTAAAGTTAAATAAAATAATAAAGCAGACGAGACATATGATCGGTTAATGAATAGTTTAATCTATTCTTAGTTTTAAGTAGTGCAAATAAAGTGGTGCACAATTTTGTAGGCTGTGATAGCTGACCTCCATCTGATGCCTTGGTAAAGAACGTGGCGAAGAAGTTGTCGAACTTGGGTGCAGACAAGAGCAAAGAACGATTTATTATTTACTGCCATCAAGAACAATGTCGTCGTTAAGACTACACATCAATTGCAGAATATGCATTTGCATGGGTTAAGAGGGTCGTAGAGAGAGGTAGGTAGATGGATATGAGGCGGATGGATGGATGCTAGAATGAATGACGAGGTGAAAAGAGAGATGAGTTGACGGACTGTAAGATAGACAGGAATAAGGTTCTTAGATGGGAAAAAAAATTATTCATGCTCAATTGGCACATGCCGAAACCGGTACCGTCAAAAAGACTGGGTCGAGAGAAGGGCCGCTTTGTGACGTTGGCGAGGTGAGACAAAGCCCAACGCTTAGCCCTTCGCACAAGTTTTGACAGGCCTCACTTTTGGCGTTGCCATAGTATGGACAGAAGGTAGCGACCTCGAAGTTGGTTCTCCAGCAAGAACACGCAATTCCTAAACCTTGGCGGAATGCCTTTTCATCCCGTAAGATAACCACAGTCTAAAAGCTAATGAGATCAAACATATACCCGGCTCGAATTTTTTGTCTAGACATCAAGAGGTTCTTCAGATGCAACTTTAATTTGGGATTACATCATCCTGAAAGAGCTCGAATTCAATGAGAAACGATTGGATGGCGATTAATAGAAAATAAAGAAAAAAGACTCAAAACTACGTCCCTTGTTCAAATGATTTTGAGAGGGAATTTAAGCGGGACTAGTTTACTGCTCCAGACTAATCACGAGCCTCCTCTTTTAATAACTGCGCGCCCGCTCACTGCCTTTAAAATAATTTCTAAAAGGGAAACACGGGTCGACCTCTACCACTCTTATGAGCAAAGCCTTTGTTGCCTACAAAACCGCCTTCACCTCACTATCATCCAGCTTTCCGTTTCAGACTGAGTTGCCTATAAAACGAGTCCTTTTTAAGGTTCAAATTACTAACCTTCTTATTCATCCGTGGTTTCATGGATCTGCTGAAGACTTCTGGTTGGCGTTCTAAATTTATTGTTGGCTGTGCAAAAGTTAAGTGCTTCCCTCTTCTCCCTTGATTTTGTTCAACGGTGTTCAATTTCAGGCCACTTTTTGGCGAAGCGACACTAAAGCACTGCTGATAAGACCGAGATTTCATCAAAAAATAAGATTAACTGCATTTTCGCAAACGAAATTACGCATATCAACAACGGGTCATTACCATGGTTACCAAATGCGAACTTATGAAGAAGCGACGTCAAACCAAAGGCATAAAATACAAATAAGCTTTTAGATCTTCGTGACATGGGACACTTCATTCTTAGGGATTGGAGTTATTAAAGAAAAAGTTGACGATCTACCCGAACTAGGTAAGAGATCGCGCGAGTCTGGAGGTAGCTTCATAATGGATGTTTAGACGGGCTGATTATAGAAACGGCATGAACCTGGGGCTGAGATGGTGACTGAAGAGCTGCCGTCGGTAAGCTTACAATTCGGTCACATGATGTTTAGTCCCCTTTCTTTTGATAATTTCCCTCGGAGTCTCCCACAGCCAAGATGTGGCCAGTAATCACAGGGACGTCTATGAACTGGGAACGAGGGCCTCCCACCGACTTTTTATTAAGACGAGGAGACACCTTCTTCGAGCGGCAGTGATTTGTATCGTCGATTGTGGTGGTACCACAGTCGCAGCCTCCATGTAGACTCCTTTACAGAGACTCACTAGCTTCGTACCACGGTCTCCAGCAATCCATGAGTGTAAAAGGGCTGGCGAATGGCTAACACGACTGATATAAACTAAACCCAGCACCGTCAAGATGGTGACCGGGAATTGCTGAGACCTGTTTACAGATGTACATTGACAACAATACAATTCTCAGCAGAAGGATATATTCGCTTGAATTTTCTACTCGACCTAGAAATAAAGTGCAATGACACGCAGACACGCAAGGTACCACAGCTGCAAGAGAGGTACACATGAATGTTTATTTACTAAATAAAACGAAGTCAATATAGTTTGCCATCATGACAGCAAGACTAATAGATGAAAATTCCGCTGGAGGGAATGGAGCAGCGTCACACTATTGTAGGCAAGAGGGGCGTGTGGGCCATTATGTCAGCTACTGCTTATGTGGTTTCCTAAACTGGACGTAAAACTGGTATGAAAAATTTTGCGAGTCCCGAACTACGTCCCAACTACGTCAACAGCTGCTACCACGAGAAAATAGGAAAGAAACCTGGGGGTAAATCACGAATTCTAAATAGTGGTTGGTAATGTTACAGGAAAGATGAATGGCATGGCTTGTGATAATCTGGTCCTCAAGCTCAGTAACGAGTGTGATTGTGTACCAGGTAGGTGCCCAAATAGTTGATGGAGGGCCATAAGCCAAAGCGAAGGCACTAAATAAGCGGCGTGGGATAATGAATCCGTAAACACAAATTGAAGGCAAATTAGAGAGTCACTACAGTTAACAGGTAAGGCAGATATTCAAAGCGCTCTTCTAAAATCAGGGTTGTAACATTATCAACTACACTGGCCTTTTAAAAATGTCTGTTTACTGCCAGTTTGTTTTCGCCTAGGTGGGTGGAGAAGCGATGGGTGTGGTCACTTTTCCAGTGGCGTTCAACTGTCGGCGCATTACAGTGAGCGACGCCAACATACTAAGCATCAAGTTAAACACACAGTCTTGACACGTGATTAATCGTCGTTTAGTGGCACCACCCTAATGCAGATGCAAGGCGTTTGGGGGTTAACAATCAACCAGACACCTACTCCACCCCTAAGCCACTGGTCGTCCAGACCATTAACGGCCTGATATCGAAAATCCTTCCAAACCCCTTTGTCCTAAACGGTCTTCATCAATGGCTCCAGTATTGAAATCAGTTAATTGATCTGCTGTAACTAGGCCTCCTTGACGGTGCCATAGAGATACCAAACTTTCATCCCCCTCGTACGTCAACATGCGTATCAGCGATCTCGGAAACAACTCAATTGTCATATGGGTAGCAAGGTTAAGCAAATTTACTCCAAAAAAGCAGACATAGTGTTTACAGATAATGATATACTGACAATTACAGGAAGATCCAACACCTATTTAGGAATGAAGCCTTGGACTTACTACAACCTATGCCACAATCGTCCATTACAAAGCTAAACTCATATTTATGCGAAAAATGAAGACACTTCAATCGAATTATAAAGACCTTAATATCTTTGGTCTCCCAGGAATCGCACAGGCAAGAAACCACCAAACTACTGTACAAAATCCTACCAGCTTTCTGCGCGGCTTATTCATACTTGCCAGGACCTCGAGTTTCCAGGGCAGTTGCACAAATCGCAGGAGAATATGGTGGAGGACACTGTTAAGTGTTCAAATACTTGCATCATTATCATAGACTCGATTTAAACAAAATGCGGGGGAAATTCCGATTGTCCTATAATGAGGCACAAAATTTCCATCATTTCTTTGCGCAATGGCTACTCTGCGTCGTATCACACCCTTTCAACGAGAGAAAACACATTCAACTTTATGAGATCAAATTAAGGATACACTTAGAGATCAAAGGCACTGAACAGCATAAACACCTACCAAAGTGAACAGCTTGCCGATGTTGAGATAAAGGCAATGTGCAACAATTCTCCCCATTTAATAAAACCATCCATTTCAAGAGATATTTTGTTATTCATAGTCCAGGAAAAGCATCACAAACAACTAAAGTGATAAAAGTATTTACAAACAAGCGGAATCTATGCCTTCTCTTTACTTACACACCTTCTGGATAGTCTTCCATTTCCGCATCGTCGACATCATCGTCAGTAGCACTTTCGCTGGAGTCGACACTATCTAAAGTAGCAAGGGAAACGGAAGCGGGTTCATTAGCATCAATCTCTTCGTCACTGCCTTTCGAAGTGGAAGCGGAAAGCCGTCCAAAACACTGACGTCCTCGTTGCGTTCGTGTTCGAAATGCAACAACTTCAGATTTGCCAGATTCCTTATCGAAACCTCCGAGATTATCGTCGATTTGTACCCTTTCTTCTTCTTCTTCTTTTTCCTCTTCATCTTCTTCAAGGGTTCTGGAGTTCAAAGTGAGCGCAGATGATAACATTGCGCCGGACTGGACAAAACGAGCACGTTTCTTTCCAGACACTGGGCGGAAGAGAATTCGTCCCGGTCGTGTATCATCGGCACTCGGCAGGGGACCTTCAATCTTACCCTCCTGAAGAAGACGCGATCAAAGAATTATGCTACTGATAATTAGTGGGCAGACGGGATTTTAAAATATGCAACTGAGCGGACCCGTATTTCACGCCGACGTCGCAGTTCGCGCATCAAGTCGGAGGCAATTTTCCGATCAGCACGCCCACCTAGTCCGGCATCTTCATCAATATCTGCGAGGCTATAGTGAGTCCACTTGGAGGGGTCGCGTCGAGGAACCTCCGAAAACCGATAAGCACCGCATTCGTCACCGCTGCCTCGTCGTTTAGACACACGTGGTGGTGGTAGAGTTGGCACTTTAAAGAGACTTTCCGAACCTGCTCTCGACACGTTTTGTCCATTCCGCTAAAATGATGAAAGCAGTAAATTGATAGTGGGAATATTTTGTGAAATTACAGAAGCAACGCAATTAAACTTAGCCACCGTGGCCAAGTCTTCCGTGGTGTCTCAAAGAGGCGACAAAATTACTCAAGGAATGAGATGATTTCCCCAAAAAGGAAAGGAGTTGGGAAATACCAAGTCTGGAAAACCACTCACAAACTCCTTTTCAGCTCCTAAAGATTCTACAGCAGGTTTTGCCAGACGCCAAGTCATTTTCTTGACCAGAAGCCGCTCAGCCTTAGTTTCCTTGGTAACTTTGTTGTGTGCATCTTCTAAGGCTTGAAGGCTGCCAAATGTATCCAGTTGACGCCGCGAGAACACAGAAGACGAGCCACGCAGAACAAAGGGAACGGAAGGATTTGAGGAAGTGTTTCTTGTGTCCGGCATGTATCTACTAAACAAATAAAAAAGCCTCATAGCAAAGAGAACGCAATAACATGTCCAGCGATTAAAGCCCAATTATTAAATAAACAGAAACTTGGTGCTATGTAAAGACGCGCCGAGATTACACAAACTAGGACCTTATAAAGTTCCATCAATTACCAGCTCTACGTATTAACTGAGCAGACTATTAATGACCGATCAAAAAGCAACAACTACTTAAAACTGATGTTGGTGAAAGCCTAGCCATTTGGGACCACCAATAGTCAGGGGACGTTGCCCCCATATGGTAATACTTAGCCTGCAAACTTTGGTAGAAATAAAATTAAGTGAAACTTTCGTAAAACATCGAAAGAAGCTAGTAAACTCAAAGAATGCATTTGGGTATCACCTAGCTACGGTATTAAATGAGGCGGCAAAACAGATGCATTTAAACTGCCCGGACGAAATGATAAAATATATTTATGTGCCAAAATTTAGTTGCTATCTAAACACGCTTACTTATTCCGTACATAATATTGTCAGAAACTAAAGCGTAAGAATCGAAGCAGCTTGTTAATTTTGCTGATAGCCTACCAGTGCCAACAACAAAGTCACATCGTTTCAAATGAAATTTTAGGCAAAAAAATCACTGCTTTTTTAGGTTTTTTGTGTAATGTTTTATGCATCTAATTTGACGAGGTACCTTTTGTGGTGTTTGTGTGTACGGCCGTTGTACGTTAGTGTCCGTCTCATGCTTTTACTTATTCTCCCTTTTCATCATTCTACGTAAAATTTTTTGATTTTACTCATGAACTCTGCGTTTAACGGTCATGAATGAGCCTTGAATT